AAAAAAAAAAAAGAAAAAAGAAGATGATGTTTGAAGAGAGACTGGAAGAAGTGAAGGAGTGAGCAGGCACATGGTGGCGGAGGGGCGGGGGGAGATACGTGCTCCAGAGGAGTCAGTAGGGGCAAAGGTGCACAGGTTCCTGAGGTAGGAACCTGCTTAGCAGGGTCAGAGAGCAGCAGGGCCCAGGCTGACCTCAAATTGCTGCTTCAAGCCTATTATTTTTGAGTATTCCAATCTTTTTAGTTTGAAAAAATGTGATGAATTGTCTAAATGAAAGGAGGAAAGAGAATTTTTAAGGATCCTATATTGTTGTTAAGCACAACTACTTTATAGCGAAGTGTGGTAAGATAGGAATTTGGAGCTGGGTGCTGGTAGCTCACACCTGCAATCCTAGCTACCAGGCTGAGATCTGAGGATCGCTGTTCAAAGCCAGCCCGGGCAGGAAATTCTGTGAGACTATCGCTAATAAACCACTCAGAAAACCGGAAGTGGTGTTGTGGATCGAATGGTAGAGTGCTCGCCTTGAGCTGAAGAGTTGAGGGATAGTGCCCAGGCCCAGGGTTCAAGCCCCACAACTGACCAAAAAATAAAAAAAAAAAAAGGAATTTGTGTCAGCAGGTGGATAAACAGAGAAGACAGCAACCCGGAGGCAGCCAGCCTCCTTACAGCCTTTCAATCATGTCTTTGAACCCCTCTCTAACTGGTTTTTAGTTGCATTTATTTCTACTCATTAGGACACTTACTCAATCCTATTATTATTATTATTTTGCCAGTCCTGGGCACTGTCCCTGAGCTTCTTTTGCTTAAGGCTTCCACTCTACCACTTGAGCCACAGTGTCACTTCTGGCTTTTTTCTGATTATGTGGTATTGAGAAATCAAACCCAGGGTTTCATGCATGCTAGGCAAGCACTCTACCACTAAGACACATTCCCAGCCCTTGCTCAATCTTTTTACTGGCAGTATCCCATACATCTCTTGGTGGGAAGAAGCTTGTCTACTAGTAAGTAGATTCTAGTAGGATCACAGGTATGGGCTTTCCTGAGTTGTAGTTATGAACTTATTCCTTGCCTTCCCACCTTACATATTTTGACTTTTTTTTCCTTTTTTTTTTTTTTGCCACTTCTGGGTCTTGAACTCAGGGCCTGCGCCACTGTCCCTGAGCTTCTTTTGTTCAAGGCTAGCACTCTACTCTTGAGTCACAGGGCCACTTCCGGTTTTTTCTGTATATGTGGTACTGAGGAATCGAACCCAGGGCTTCATGCATGCAAGACCAGCACTCTTACCACTAAGCCACATTCTCAGACTGATATTTTAACTTTTTGAAGAACATGACTGGTATGTTGTGTGTGTGTGTATGTGTAAGTACTGGGGTTTGAACTCGGGGCCTGAGAACTGCCTGTCTGAGCTTTTTTTGCTCAAGGTTAGCTCTCTACCACTTGATTAATTGAAGAGTCTCACAGGTTTTCTTGCCCTGGCTGGCTTCAAACTAGGATCCTTCAGATTCAGCCTCCTGAGTAGCTAGGATTACAAGCATGAGCCACAGGCATCCAACTTGATTCATACTTTGCATGCTGCTATGGGAAAGATGCCATCAGAATTCTTTGCCCTTGAGGATTTCCCTGTCATCTTTGAAGCTTCAGTTTTATTAGGATATGCTTCCGTTTTTTCAACCATTTATTTGTCTGTATGTGAATTTGGAGTTAATCACCAGATTCCTAATTCACTTTGCTTGCTTCTATCAATAAGATATATTTTCTCAACCTCATGCTTATATTACCTTTTGGTGTTATGAATACTATTGAAGACACCAAATGACACTGATGTTTAGCTGTTCCTACATACTAGTTATGCTGCATGTGTGGTGGTGTGTATATTCTTGTAGTTGTTTTGTATTGTAGAGGCTGTGTGGGAGTTTTAGATAAAACTGTCATTACCATCAGCTTTCTGGAACTCTAACTTGCTTTTTTTTTTTTTGGGTTGGCTGTGGGGCTTCAACTCTGAGGCTGGGCACTGAGCTCCTTAGCTCAAGGTCAGTGCTCTACCACTTGAGCCACATTGCTACTTCCGGTTTTCTGGTGGTTAACTGAAGAGTTTCACGGAGTTTTCTGCCCAGGCTGGCTTTGAACCGCGATCCTCAGATCTCAGCTTCCTGAGTAGCTAGGACTACAGGTGTGAGCCACCAGCACCAGGCTGCTTTCTAATTTTTATCTTTGGCAATAGGGAGGCTTGAATGGGGCCTTGTGTTTACTAGGAAGGAGCTCTACCACTTTAGCCACAGCTCTACCAATTGAGCTCTAGCTCTTTTTATGTGTGCCAGTACTTGGGTTTGAACTCTCTTGTGCTCTTGGCTTACTGTTGGCCAGTGCTACTTGACCCACTCTTCCCATTCTGGCTTTTGCTGGCTAATGGGAATCACATAGACTTTTCTGCCTGGGCTGGCTGTGGACTGTGATCCTCAGGTTTTAGCTTTTTGAGTATTTAGGATTACAGGCATAAGCCACCAGTTCCTGGCTCTTAAATTGCTTTTTGAGTCCTTCTTGTGGGGTTGAGAATGGACTGCAGGTACCAAGAGTAGACTTAGGGAAACTAGCATGGTCGGGTTTCAGGGATCTGGCATCTAAGGGACCTGGCCAGACATAGTAACAGTTGGATTTGGAGTATATACTAAGAACTGGAAGTCAGAGAAGGGGTGAGGTGGATACTTGGAGACTGTGACTCCTGAAAGGAGTGGCTTCTGAGCACTGCGCTTCTCTCTCAAGGTTACAAGCCTGATGAAGGGAAGCGAGGGGATGCATGCGAAGGTGACAGTGGAGGCCCCTTCATCATGAAGGTAAACCATTGTGGTGGATATGGCTCACAGGGGTGGGGATGGTTGGGTGAAGAGGAAACCTGAGTTTTCAGAATCAGTGGCCTGGCTGGGTAAGGCCAATACGACCTTGGACTTGACTCTTTTGGAAATGTTCTCTCTCTTCCCCAGAACCCCTATAACCAACGCTGGTATCAAATAGGCATTGTGTCATGGGGAGAAGGCTGCGACCGGGATGGGAAATACGGCTTCTACACACACGTGTTCCGCTTGAAGAGATGGATACAGAAGGTCACTGAGCGGTTTGGATAGAGGGCCACTCCTGGCAACAATCACAGAGGACAATCCAGTGAAAGAATTATTTTTGTGGTTTCTTAAATTCTAGTTCCCATTAAAAGTGACTCATCAATGAGCCTCAAGCTCCCTGAGCCATTTGTTGGTGCAGAGGTTCTGGGCTGGGCTCAGCACCAGCCAGGAATGCTGCTGGACAGCCGGACTTGAAGGAACGCCCCCATCCAGGCTTTAGTGGGGTATCTCATTTAAGTCTCACAACGGATAGGGGCTATACTTAGAAGTGAGGTAAGTAAGGTGGGATTTGGAGAAGTAGTTTGCCCAAAGTCACACAGCTAGGGCCAAGGAGGGCTCAGAACATAGCATAGTGAGGTGTTGGCTGCTCTGTTGCCAAGCCTAAGTCAGAGCTTGTGCCAGACATGGAAGAGAGGCAAGAAAGAGGGAAACAAAGTAGAGTAGATTCTTCTCTCTACTTAACTTTCCTAGAAGCCCCTAGGAGGAGCCCCTTCCTCCTATCATTAAAATGGCCAATTTATGCCCCGCAGTGAGGCTCACATTAGAAAATGCTTTCCTTTGGGAGTACTGTGGGAAATGGTAGTTGGGAGTAAGGGAACTCAGGTGTTAAGTTACTCAGGTTCATATTGTGGCTCCAAGCAGAGACGGGGTAAGCACAAAGCTCCACTTGACCTGCCCAAACCTGTTTCTTTGTATTTTACACATACAAAGGTCCCACAGCTCATTTAGTGCCCGCTGCCCAGGAAGCACTCCGAAAGACACTGATGTTTTGACTCCCAACACTGTCTGCCAATTGGCCTAGGCATCTACCCTGGCATGGTTAAAGGCCCTTTACTGGTCACTTCCTCTTTCCTCCCACAAACAGCGTTGATAGTACAGGGCAGCTGTTTCCTAGAATTCTAACAGTGTTTAGCAGAGATTGTCTGGAAAATAGGGGCTAGAGGGAGTTTGGTGGATCTGTAAAGGCTTTAGACAAGAAACCATGGTGCAGGACTGCAAAGGGGGCCCTATGGCAGCTGTCTTCCAGGTTACTATCGGCAGGACTCATAGGGTGCCCCACTGCTGCCTGGCCACAGAGCTCCATCACGTTCCTCAGTTATAGAGTACCATGGGCGTTGTTGGGACATTTATGATGCAGAGGCCACTGCAGCCTAAAACACAGGTGACAGTGAGTTTCAACTCACGTGAAACGTGCACCTGTTCATACTTCGTGGAGGCTGAGCCACGCGGATGTAAGACGGGAGAAGAGCACAGTGGTTACCATTCTCAGCTGATGAGCTTCAATTAACTTGAATAAGTGCAAAAGGGATCCTTTTCTTTCTTTCTTTTTTTTTTTGGGGTCCAGTTGTGGGGCCTGAACTCTGGGCCTGGGCTAGTGCTCTACCACTTGAGCCATAGCGCCACTTCCAGGTTTTTTCTTTTTGCTTATGTGGTGCTGAGGAATCGAACCCAGGGCCTCAGGCATGCAAGGCAAGCGCTCTACCACTGAGCCACCTTCCCAGCCCCGCGGGATCTTTTTCTTTATTTGGCAGTATGTTGTTTAGACTCAGGGCCTCAGGCTTAACTTGGTTTGTGCTCTATCACTTGAACCAAATCTCCAGTCTGGCTTTTATTGCTGGTAATTCTGGAGATGGGTCTCATGGACTATGTAGCCCTGGCTGGCATTAGTCTCCCAAGTGCTGTGATTATAGATATGGCCCATCACACACAGTCTTTCACCTTTCACTACATGAAGCAACAGAGAATTAGGATAGAGTTCTTTTTATTCTTTGATTTAGATTGACCATAAAGCAGGATTAAAAAAAAATGCAGTGAAACTTCAGTGAGTTTGCAGTATCTCTGTCACCCAGAATTTTAACCAGAGCATGGTGGAAGGGATTCAGAACGAATGCACTGCTAAGCAAGGTGGATTGTGCTTTCTAAGAAGGGTGAGATCTGGATTGTGGTTTGAAGCCAGCGCAGGGCAGAAAAAAAATCCACGAGATTCCATCTCCAAAATTATCAGCAAAATAGCCAGGCTGGAGAATGGTTTAAGTGGTAGAGAGATCTGCTGAGTAAGCATAAAATTCAAGTTCAATCCCTCTGAAAAGAAGAACACTCAGACCCTTTTTTTTTTTTTTTGGGTCAGTCATGGGACTTGAACTCTGGGTCTGGGCATTGACCCTTAGCTCTTCAGCTCAAAGCTAGTGTTCTAGGGCTGGGAAGGTGGCTCAGTGGTAGAGCGCTTGCCTTGCATGCCTGAGGCCCTGGGTTCGATTCCTTAGCACCACATAAGCAAAGAGAAAAAAGCCGGAAGTGGCGCTGTGGCTGAAGTGGTAGAGCGCTAGCCTTGAGCTGAAGAGCTGAGGGACAGTGCCCAGGCCCAGAGTTCAGGCCCCACGACCAGACCCCCCCAAAAAAAAGAAAATTCAAAGCTAGTGTTCTAATACTAGAGCCACAGTGCCACTTCCAGTTTTCTGGTGGTTTATTGGAGATAAGAGTCTCATGAACTTTCCTGCCTAGGCTGGCTTTGAACTGTGATCCTCAGATCTCAGCCTCCTGAGTAGCTAAGATTACAGGCTTGAACCATTGGCACCTGGCTCCAGAACCTGTTTTTTAAACAAGAACACACATTTTTATATCTCAACATCACCATCAGTGTTGCAAGCTTTGAGATCTTGGAGTTTTCTAATGAGCTTTTCTAACTCTAGACCCAGTGCAGTCAAATACGTATGTGCGATATGCAGATGAACAGATGAAACCAAATCTTGCTGCTGGGTGGGAAATACTATGGCCCAAATTGGTCCTTCTACAGCTGCAAATTCCTATCTTGTCATGAACACTTACCTCTTTCCATGAAGTCCTATAAGGGAGAAAAGCAAGGTGAACTCTGGGCAGCTTAGAGATAACTTCAAAGTTATGTCTGGGAGGCTGGGAAGGTGGCTCAGTGGTAGAGTGCTTGCCTTGCATGCATAAGGCCCTGGGTTTGATTCCTCAGCACCACATAAGCAGAAAAAGCCGGAAGTGGTGTTGTGGCTCAAGTAGTAGAGTGCTAGCCTTGAGCTGAAGAACTGAGGGACAGTGCCCAGGCCCAGAGTTCAGGCCCCACAACTGACTGACAAAAAAAAAAAAAAGTTATGCCTGGAACCAAGGGAAGGAAGACTGATTTGATGGACAGCCAAGAGGGGATTCGTTTCATGTCAGTCTTTAATTTCTTGAACACCAGCTGAATAGATGGTGGGCTAAAAGTCAAAGTTGTTAGGATTGCCGAAGCCTCCCCTGGCACCCAGAACTTCTTAGTTGTAAGGAGTTTTTCTGACTGTGGACACAGTTGCTGTGGAATTTACCCCAGAGGTGAGTCTTCAGATCAGGTATAAAGCAACTGGTAGTCTGGACAAACAGAGCCTCAAGATGGGAGGGAAAGGACTAAATTCTCACTGATCCATTTATGGGGTGGCAACCATTATAGGCCAGCCAATGCAATCTCATGTCCACTTGAGCATCTAAGTGACTGATACCAGGAGTTCCTTGGAACTACCAGAGAACATTGGGAGACTGGGGGAAGTCAACCAAAGCCTCACCTGAGGAAAGGTGAGAGCTCCTGACTCCATAGGAACTGCATGGGAAAAGCAGAAAAGCGAGTCTCTCCTATTGCAGTGAGTGACATGGCTTGGAGGGTGTGCGCCAAGAGAAGGCAGTGCTTGGAAGGCAGGTGCTCCCTTCGCTGGCTGAGCATCCAGCAGTCCTGCGGGGGGGGGAGGCGTGGTGGCATACAGAGGTGCCAGCTGTCACAAATATGGAATATGGAGCACTTGGGGAAACAGGTATAGTTAATGCAAACTTTATTTATAAAAGACTCTTAAATTAGTTGTCTCATGCCATGCATTCATACAGAATACAGTGACCCTTCAGGGCTACAGAGAGAAGAGCTCACAAACTCAACGGAAAACTATTAAAGAGTTTCTAATAGTTAAAAGCTAGGAAAGATTAGGACAATTTTACAAATGAGCAAGTAAAAAGAAAACAAAAGGAGGAGGATATGGAACCTAGTCTGAGCTGAGGGCAGCTGTTTCAGTCTGTACACTAAGCTAATCCACGACAGTCTTCTAGAGGTGGAAGCGGAGGTGGTGTCAGTGATGCTGTGCAGATGGGAGGCACAGAGCGCCGCCCTGTCCAGCCCAGTGCCCTGCGCTCTTTCCCGTCCCTGTCCCCGTCCACGTCCACGCTGCTGAGTACTTACGACCAGTCTGTGTACGTATGCTAGGCCTGCAGCGGCCACTTCACACTACAGGGCTTCTAGTTTAGTAAACTAAAGCTGCAGGGTGCGGAGGATGGGCAGCTTCATTTGCGACTGCTCTTTATTCTCTCCAGTCTCTTTTTCAAGTCGTCTATGTTGGTTGTGGAAGAGGAGGTCAGGGTTCCGGCACAGTGGGTCTGGTTGGAATCCAGGGCTGAGTGCTGGTGCTGCTCCCGTGACTCTCGCAGCTGGGAGAGCTTGCTGTGCAGCATGTCTGTAGAAGAGGCCACTGGGGGGATTGCTGGTTTGGAGAGCAAAGAGGTCAGCGGAGGCCGATCATCTTGCTAGTGAGGGAAAAACAGACACCACGTAAGTTCAGGGAAAGCAGGCTGGGATGCACTAGGGCCAAGCGACTCCCTCTGGGCTAGCCTGCCCCTGACCTGCAGTCCTCCAGACCCACATAGAAGGAAGGAGGAGTACCTTTGTGTTGTCCAGGCCACACCGCTGTCGGAGGATTTTTAGCCTTTCCAGGTAGACAGATGGTCCCACCTCTTCTCCATTAGTGTTACCTATGGAGGACACTGTGCTTGTGGGGGTAGGCACACATGTGACCTCCATCTGAGGGGAGATGCCTAGAGAGGAAAATATAAACAATATTGATATGTACATGTACCACATTTCCAGACTTCTTTGCTTAATCTGCCACTGAGAACACCAATTTCCAATGGTAGAGTAGCTCATATCTGTAATCCCAGCTGCTCAGAAGGCACAGATTGGGAGGACTGTAGTTCAAGGACAACTGGGCAAAAAAGTTACCAAGACTTCATCTCAACCAATAAACCAATCCTGCATGGTAGTGCATGAGTATAATTGAACTATGCAAGATGTTGTAGGTAGGAGATCACAGTTCAAAGCTGGCCCTAGGCAAAACATGCATGAGTCTCCATCTGGATCCAGCTAAAAGAACTGCTAGTACGGATCAAGTGGTAGACTATCTGCTTAGCAATCATGAGGCCCTGAATTCAAATAAAAATAAATAAAATCTAAATAAAAATAAATAAAAACTAAATTTCCAGGGCTGGTGGTGTAACCAGTAAATACCATAAGGATTTGGGTTTAATCCCTAAAGCAAAAGCAAAAAACGAAACAAAAAAAACCCCAAAACCCCCACACACAAAAATCTCTGGAGGCTCTTCATTGTGCTCAAAACCAAAGCAATCAACAAAGGTTTATCTGGAGTTGGTGATAAAAGGTGTTCTCAAATATACAAGATAAATTTAAAGAGAATTTCAAGGATTAGTAGACAGGTAGAATGTAAGTTGGACAGTCCAACCACACCCTGGTTATGCAAAAGGTATTCCAGGAATCACAGGGTTGACTTGAGCAATCCAAAAGACCTGAGCTACTGCAGAGTATATTAGAAGAGCCCAACTAAAACACCTGTGCACCTTAAATCTGCAGAAGATTCAGATTAAGGGCTGGGAATGTGGCTTATTGGTAGAGTGCTTGCTTTGCATGCATGAAGCCCTGGGTTCAATTCCTCAGTACCACATGAATACAAAAAGCCAGAAGTGGCATGGTGGCTCAAGGGGTAGAGTGCTAGCCTTAAGCAAAAGAAGCTCAGGGACAGTGCCCAGACCCAAAGTCAAAGCCCCAGGACTGGCAAAAAGAAAAAAAAAAAAAAGAAGATTCAGATTAAATTTAGACCAGTTCATAAACCTGGGAGCTCTTTGCTGTAAAGAACTATGTGGGCCCTATGACCTTTAAGAGGTCCTTATGAGGGACACAGAGAGATGCTGCGGTGTCTAGCTTTAGAGTATTTGTAATAACCTTGTCACAAAGATCAATGTTCTGGGAGGAGAAGGAAAACCATTAACTAAACCAAAACAAGAACAAGAAAATCAATTTCAGGTCCTTAACTTCTGAGAGGGAACAATCATAAAATACAACATTTGAAAAATAACTTGGGTTCAGTGATATAATTCTTGTCTTACATACATTGAGGCCCTGGGTTCCTGGGTTTGATTCTCAGTACCACGAAACAAGAACACCAATTTCCCTCCCCAACAATCCTGGGGCTTGTACTTTAGGCCTGGGCACTGTCCCTGAGCTTCTTTTGCTTAAGGCTAGCACTCTACCACTTGAGCCATGGTGCCACTTCTGCCTTTTTTGTTTATCAGTCTCACGGACTTTCTTTCCTGCCCAGGCTGGCTTTAAAATGAGATCCTCAGATCTCAGCCTTCTGAGTAGCCAGGATTATAGGTATGAGCCATCAGTGCTTGGCATGAATGCCAATTTTATTTTATTTATTATAAAGATACTATACAGAGGGTTACAGTTACATGAGTAAGGTAATGAATGAGTGCACTTCCTATTGGGCATTGTTACCCCCTCCATTGTTTTCCCCCTACTATCCCTTCCCTCCCTACCTTCCCCAAGGTTTTTTTTTTTTTAAATTGTGATTAAATGATTACATAATTTCCCAAATTTCACAGTATTGTGGAATAATGATGCTCATTTAAAGTCACAAGTTCATTCTAACTTTCCTGGAGCAAATTGTCTATCACGTCTATAACATATAGTGGTGTACACATACATACCATACATGTGATCAGCAGCACGGGGATATTTAGTAGTGGTTCGACCAGATGAGTGGGAGTTCTTTGTTTCTTAAGTCCTGTTAATTTTGTTGTATCACCTAACATTTTGGATTTAGCATCCACTTATCAGGGAGACCATGTACCATTTGTCTCTTTGCTCTTGGCTTACCTCGCTCAACATGATTCCTTCTAGCTCCATCCAATTCCCTGCAAATGCCATTATTTTGTCATTTCTAATGGCTGTATAATATTCCATTGTGTATAGATACCACAGTTTTTGGATCCATTCATCTGTGGTGGGGCATCTGGGTTGTTTCCATATCCTAGCTATTGTGAACAGTGCTGCAATAAACATGGAGGTGCACGTGTCCTTGTATATTGGTTCCTGTTGTTCAGGGTAGATGCCTAGAAGTGGTATGACTGGGTCATAAGGGAGGTCAATCTTTAGCTTTCTAAGGACCCTCCAGACTGCTTTCCAAAGTGGTTGTATAAGTGTACATGAATGCCAATTTTACATCAACATAAATTTGTTATTCTTCCAAAAGAAAAATGGAAGAAAAAAAAAATAGAAGTGTAACACAGGGAAAAAGCAAAGAAGGAATTTTTTTTTTAAGAAGAGAAAAATGAGAGAAAGAGGCCCTTCTCTATATAAATATGTGCACACACTCTGCTCCCCATCTTCAAGAAAACCCCATTACTCCCTGCCCCCCCAAAAAAAGTTTCTTGGAGAGAAGTAATATAAGGTGTCAAAAACAAGGAATATTCCAACTGGTTAAGAGTGGAAATGAAGCTTTAGCTGAGAAAGACATGCAAAGAGAATGTGACCTGAATCAGAAACCCACATAGGGCAAACAAACTCTGAAATTGAATAGTAGGTACAGTTGATTGAACTTGGACAAAACCTTAACACAGAGTAAATGTGACAGTTGAACTCTGCCCTACCAGGGGGCTTTTGCAGCTGGCTCTATCTGGTTGAAGGCTGTGGCAGCTTTTTCTAACTAAAACCTCTTTCATTTTCCTTTGCCACTAGATTGAGAGCAGTAATTTTCAGTGTTTTTTTTTGGTCCTGTTGTGGGGCCTGAACTCTGGGCCTGGACGCTGTCCCTAAGTTCTTCAGCTCAAGGCTAGCGCTCTACCACCTGAACCACAGCGCCACTTCCGGTTTTTTTCTTTTTTGCTTATGTGGTGCTGAGGAATCGAATCCAGGGCCTCATGCATTCAAGGCAAGCGCTCTAACACTGAGCCACCTTCCCAGCCCAATTTTCAGTGTTTTTAAAAAATAATTTATTGTGGAGATAGTAACATTTCAGCTTGAACTTAGGATATTCATTCACTAATTTATATCATTTAACAATTTTTTTTGGTCTGTTGTGGGGCTTGAACTCTGGACCTGGACACTATCCCTCAGCTCTTCAGCTCAAGACTAGCGCTCTACCACGTGAGCCATAACACCACTTCCAGTTTTCTGGTGATTAATTGGAGATACGAGTCTCATGACTTTCCTGCCTGGGCTGGTTTTGAACCAGGATCCTCAGATCTCAGCCTCCTAGGTAGCTGGGATTACAGGTATATGCCACCAGCGTCTGGCTTCAACAAATATTTTGTTGCAGGCAACAACAAAATCCTTCCCTTACGCTTTAAAATCCGAAGACAAACAACTGATCTAATAGATGCTGTGTCATATGTTAGGTTAGTAGTGAGCAGAGACAAAGATCTGAAAGAGGAAGGGAGCTAGCAGTGCAAAAACACCTACAAAGGCAGGGCAAAGGCATCAAGGTCCCTGAATACTCCAGAAAAAGCAAGGAGATTAGTGGAATCGCAGTGTAGTAAAATGTGGTCAAAGATATCAGACAACATGAGACTCTGGAGAGCTTTTACTCCAGTGATATGCAGATTTCTAAATAATGAATAATGAGAAGCCACATTCTGATGCTCTCTGTGGAAATGAATGTAGGGAGGCAAATTAGTGGGGGAAGGAAGGTAGGAAGGTAGTGTTATTATAGCCTAGGTGAAAGGCAGTACTCTGTCTGCCATGGTAACAGAAAGAAGGTAAGGAGAAGTTTGGGTAGATCCTACATGTGGTTTCCAGATCCAGGCAAAAGCCTTTCCTGACAAGAGAAGGAAAGACCAAAAGCTTTGAATCTATCAAAAACTAGAGGGACCAAGATGGAGAAGAGTACAAATTGAGCAGGTTTGAGAAAGGGAATATCAAAGCTTATCAGTTTGTTTGTTTTTGATGGACATGGGGCTTGATCTCTGGGCCCAGGCACTATCCCTCAGCTCTTCAGCTCTACCACTTGAGCCACAGTGCCACTTCTGGTTTTCGGGTAGTTTATTAGAGATAAGAGTCTTACAAATTTTCCTGCCTAGGCTGGCTTTGAACTAAGATTCTCTTATCTCAGCCTCCTGAGTAGCCACCACAAACACCTGGCTACTTATTAGTTTTTGACAGATTTATAAGCTGGGAGCTATTTTGAGCTCATTCCTGGAACTCTCAAAGAAAATCATCCATACCTGTTGAAGTGGGAATGCGGCCTTTGCCTTCCCTCTCCATCTCAATCACCCGAAGACCTCTTTCAACATAACTCTGAAAGAACTGTGAGGAATTTTTCAAAAATGGTTCAATATCAGCATCTGAGTATTTCTTCTTATATTCATATAGCTCTGCTAAACCCTGATAAATAAGAAAAAGGAAGAAGTTGGAACGGATGTATTAGTGCTCCTTTTCCACAAAGCATCTCCCCTTAGTCTTTTTTTTTTTTTTTTTGGGTCCAATCATGGGGCTTGAACTCTGGGCCTGGGTGCTGTCCTTCAGCTCTTCAGCTCAAGGCTAGCGCTCTACCACTTGAGCCACAGTGCCACTTCTGGCTTTTTTTTTTCTTTTTGCATATGTGGTGCTGAGGAATCGAACCCAGGGCCTCATGCATGCAAGGCAAGTGCTCTATCACTGAGCCACCTTCCCAGCCCCTCTCCCCTTAGTCTTAACTCTTTCCTTCTTACCTCTTTAGTATTCTCTTTGGAGCCAATCTTCTTAAAAATCTCTGCTAAGAAATCATTTACTTTAGCCTTTGATGACTTTTCATCCTGAAAAATGAAAGGCACAAAGGTGGGCTGATTTGACTTGAATTATTAATTAGGAGCTAATGATAAGCTCTTTACAGAAAAGTACCTCAAATTCTGGACCTGCTAAGTTCCGTAGGGAGAGGAGGCATCAGTCCTGCAGGTTTGCAGCAGAACCATCAACATGATGAGCCTTCAGTCAGGTTTTCCCCTCACTTAATGATGGAGAAACTGGTCTATCTCTCCAATTAAATAGAGCCCACAGTGAATTTATCTAAGGATCAATGCTTTGGGGCCATAGAAAACTTTCCTTGAGGCCCCAAAACACATAATTATTTCTTATTTTTAGAACTTTACAATGGAAATGGTTAAGCACCACAAGAGAATGACAATACCAGTCCCTAAACTTTCACCTTGCAAGTCAGGCCACTCACTATTCGAGAAGCTCCCTTTTCTGTTTCCTTATCAGACTTGTTGCCAGTCTGGTCCATACTGTGCTTCATCATCCGGCAGAGATGGGCTTCCAGCTCGGACTCATTCTTATTGTCAATCATTGTGAGGTGGTCTAGGATCTGAGGGAGACAAGCACATTCAAATAGTAGCAATGCCTTTCCCATGATGTTCTTCTATGATCTCTTTAGGGACCAGTTGCTGTTCTCATTCACCTTGGGTCCTTTTAATTTGCATAAGGTGTGTAGGAGGGTCTTTAAGGTCCTTATAGGAAATTCGCTTTTGCATTGCTTCAGTTTCTCTTTAGGGAACACCTTCATGAAAATGTGGATATCTAGAAGAATTCTGTCTAGGTTAATGCTGTTGATGGTGTCTGGCAATAGTCGAACCATTCTCCAGAGACACTATTGAAAAAAAGAAACATAGTTAGAAGTGACTGAAGAATGAGGATAATTTGTTATCCTTCCCAAGTTCATAGCTCACTTCAGAAAAGATGGGCAGTGTATAAATGTGGATCTTCTCAGCTACTAGAACAGAAAACATCATCTCAATTGTGTTACTCACTGAAGTAGGACAAGTCATCCTTCTAACCATCCATCCCTACTCTTTCTTCCCACACTCCCAGAGATGGAGGCCATCATTTAATATTGTGAAAATGTATTTTAAGTTTTTCAGCCAGGTGTCGATGGCTCACACCTGTAATCATAGCTACTCAGGAGGCCGAGATCTCAGGATCATGGTTCAAAGGCAGCCCGGGCAGGAAAGCCCGTGAGACTCTTATCTCCAATAAACTACTCAGAAAACCGGAAGTGGAGCTATAGCTCAAGTGGTAGAGAGCTAGCCTTGAGCTGAAGAGCTGAGGGACAGTGCCCAGGCCCAGAGTTTAAGACCCACAACCACAAAAATAAAAAACAACAAAAAAAAATTCAATGTGGTAAAGAAGGTATCTTGCCCTCTTGCCAAAGAGCTGGGGCAGAAATTTCTGCCCATTCCAAAGGATGGTGAAGTTTAGGCTGTGTGAGGGCATTACTTAGGTCTAAGGTCAGCAGGTTGACATAGTCCAGGTTTACAGGAAGAAGTATATCATCTGCACTGAATAGGTGCATCAGGAAAAGGTTTAGAGGACAACTGTTCATTCCAGCAAGGTGTTAACACCAGGCTCAAATTTAACAAAGACTGCAAAAAGATCCTGGAATGGGAAGCCAAATCTTACAAAGTATGAAAGAATAGCACATATAAAGAAGAAACAAGGCAATCTTAAGACAATGTTCAGAGGAAACTGCTTAAATGAAGAAAATGAGCCAGGCACCACTGGCTCATGGCTGGAATCTGAGATCTGAGGATCATGGTTCAAATTCAGCCTGTACCACCCAAAACCCCACAAACAAACAAACAAAAACAAAGCCAGAAGAAGAGGTGTGGCTCAATTAGTAGAGTGCCAGCCTTAAGTGAAGGTATAAGGCCTTGAGTTCAAGTACTGGTACCAAAAAAAAAAAAAAGGAAATTCCATTTTGGGTTTCTTGGTACTTGAAAATAGAATAATTTAAATTGTTTAACTAAATCTAAGATTTCTTATACTATTATCATGTAGTAGACTTACAATATTATACATACGTTCATTCAGAGTCTCTAATTAAGAGACTGAAATATTATAGGGCCATGTATCTTTACCCCTCAGAAATTAAAAACTGTCCTATCAAACTTCTTGCCATTTGAATCTAGGAGAATTGGTAAAATATCTACAATACAGCTGTGTGAGGCCAAAAATTTTTAGGCTTGAGCTCAGGGTATAAATTGGCAAAAGGGGAATTTTTATTTTTATTTATTTATTCTTTTTGGTTGGCTGTGGGGCTTGAACTCTGGGCCTGGGCGCTGTCCCTCAGCTCTTCAGCTCAAGGCGAGAGCTCTACCACTTGAGCTACAGCGCCACTTCCGGTTTTCTGGTGGTTTATTGGAGACAGGAGTCTCAACGTGTCTCCTGCCCGAGCTGGCTTTGAACCGCGATCCGCGATCCTCAGATCTCAGCCTCCTGAGTAGCTAGGATTGCAGGAGTGAGCCACCAGCACCCGGCTGGAATTTTTATTTTTTAAAAATTATTTACTTATTAGTCAGGCACTAATGGTTCATGCCTGTAATCCTAGCTACTGAGGAGGCTGAGATCTGAAGATCATGGTTCAAAGCCAGTATTACCAGGAAAGTTTGTGAGACTCATCTCCAGTTGACCACAAAAAAAAGCGGGGGGGGGGGCGAAGGGGAAGAGGGGAGGGGCCCAGAAGTGGAGCTGTGGCTCAAGCTCAAGTGGTAGAGCACTAGCCTTGAGCAAAAGAGCTCAAATTAGCCTGGCCTTGGGGCTTATATGTATACATACACATGTATATGAGACCATCTCACTGTGTCTCACTGGAGACAGGGCGCAGACTGGCCTTGAACTCATGACCTTCTTGCCTTTGCCACCTGTGTGCTGGGACTACAGTAGTGTGTACCACTATGCTAGGTTTGCCAATTACATCTTTTCAGATATGTCTTAGTTTATTTCAATGTTTTAAGCTCAATTTTTTTTTCCTTATACGTCTAACAAAGTAATGGTATATTTGAAAAGAAAAAGAGATAAAGTAATTTCAACATCACCTTCATAACAAGCTCTGAGAATTTGGGAGAACTGGCTGTTGCTAGCAGGCTATCTTGGAGCAAAACAAGTAGGGCACTGGAAAGACAAACATACCAACATAACAACATGAATATATTTCAAGACTTCATTATAATACAATCAAATCATTGAAAGGCCAACTATGAATATTCCCTATCCATCTAGTAAACTGAGAACTCATGGCTAAGGATCCATCTATGATTATTTACCATTTGGTTATTAAAAATAAAAATCACTAAGTTCTTACTATGGTAAAGTTATCTGGTTTTTAGTGTCATTGGTAGACCAGAGAGAAATGTACCTGAAATGCATATGCTAGGAGAACTGATACATTTCATAGTCCATTCTAGAGAACTCATAGTATTAGTCATCTACTGAGTTGCTACTAAACTATAGTCTCAGACTGGAACACTTTGGCTCCTAAATAAGAATAATAAGCCAACTTATTAGAAAAATATGAACTTATAGTTGACTTAATTTATAGTTGACTTTCTCATTTTCATTTGTAAACAAAGGAGAGGCTATTTGGACTTTTCTGCAGAGATTCAAATATACCTCAGGATGTTGGTCTGGTCTGATTTCTCCAAAACTTTCACCACCAAGAGGTTCACAGAACGGATCACCTGTTGTCCTTCCTCCAGATCTTCAATCCGGGAATCCAGCATTAAGGTGATGAGGCCATGCATCAGGTCTTTTAGTACTCCAGTGGAGGCTTCCCGGGCCAGGCTCTCTATCTGAAACAGCTATCCAATCCTAACTATGTTAGGGTGGTTAAAACTCAAAATATAGGTGTTGGTGGCTCATGCCTATAATTCTAGCTACTGTGGAGGCTGAGATCTGAGGATCATAGTTCAAAGCCAGCCCAGGCAAGAAAGTCTGTGAGACTCTTCAATCAACCACCAGAAAGCTAGAAGTGGTGCTGTGGCTCAAAGTGGTAGAGTGTTAGCCTTGAGCATATAAGCTCAGGGACAGTGCCCACAGAAGAAAGAAGACAAATATGTCTGATATATTCTAGTACATGAATATATGTATTTTTGTTTCTTTTATTTTTTTGCTAGGCCTGCAGCTTGAACTCAGACTGTAGGTATTGTCCCCAAGCTTCTTTTGCTCAAAGCTATTGCGCTATCACTTGAGCCACAGTGCCACTTCCGGCTTTTTTTGTTTGTGTAGTACTGAGGAATCAAACCCAGGGCTTCATGCACATTAGGTAAGCATTCTACCACCAAGCCACATTCCCAGCCCGTTTTTTATTTATTTTTACTTTTTTTTATTGTTTAGCAATAGCCATCTCACTAGTTCATCTGGCCTGGAACTTGAAAATCTGCCTCAGCCTCCCCAAAACTGGGATTACAGGCATGAATTACCATGCCCAGAACAATTTTTTTCCCCCAGTCGGGCTTGAATTCTGGGCTTGGGCACTATCCTTCAGCTCTTTAGCTCAAGGTGAGTACTCTACCGCTTGAGCCACAGTGCCACTTCCGATTTTCTGGTGGTTTATTGAAGATAAGAATCTCCTGCCCGGGCAGGCTTTGAACCGTGACCCTCAGATCTCAGCCTCCTGAGTAGCTAGGATTACAGATGTGAGCCACCAGCGCCCAGCTATATTTTTAAGACATCAGAGTTTTGGTTTAAAATTGTCAAATGGGATTCCTCAGTAATTGCCAGAATTATTTGGAGTGCTTTTTTCCTAGTATACTATTTTTAATGTAAGCACAATTATTTGTGAAAAGGAAAATAGGGACTACCATATTTAATAAAGAACTTGAAGCCAGCTGCCAGTGGCTCATGCCTGTAATCCTAGCTACTTAGGAGGCTGAGATTTGAGGATCACAGTTCAATGCCATCCTGGGCAGGAAAGTCTGTGAGACTCATCTCCAATAAATCACTCAGAAAAAAATGGGTGGGGGGAGGGAGATGGGAAGAGATGGGAAGGGGAAACAAAGGAGGAGGCAACAATGCTTGATAAGAAATGTACTCATTATCCTGCCCATGTAATTGTAACCCCTCTGTACGGTATTTTCACAATAAAAAAAAGAAAAAAATGGAAGTGGTACTGTGGCTCAAGTGGTAGAACAATAACTAGCCTTGAGCACAAAGAGGGGCTCAGAGATAGAGCCCAAGTCTTGAGTTCAAGCCACAGGACTGGAAAAAAAAAAAGAAGAAAGAAAAAAGAACTTGATAGGAAGCAGACTTTTAGGTGACAAGTAAGCATTCTACCTTTTATTCTAACAATAAAGCAAGCTAGAGATATCCCAATATTCAGAGAGTTAGTGAATAGCCTGCTATAGAACTCATGGAAAATTTTACTAAGTGACACAGAATTCACTGAGATATCCACACTGATGCTGACTGGGTAGGAGACTAAAGGAAAACTCCCTCACTGCAAAGACCTTACCGAAATCATGTTGCCGATGATACAGCTGTACAGCTTGATGATCTCATCCTTCTCTAACTTCTCATCTGCCATATGTGTGTTGTAGATGAGTCTCAGCTGCATGAATGTGGCTATGAGAAACTGATCGATATGGCCAGACATGGCTTCAGCTTTGTCTTCCTGTCTCAGGACCTCATCAATCTGGAAACAAAAATTCCAAAATGCATTTCTCAAGTTTCATACTGCATAGCAGATACTCTTAAGAAATGATTCTACAGGAGTATTTACTAGCAAAGCACTTCCAGTATATACTTACCTAGAAAAAACTCAGTTACTTTACACATAACTTATCCTGAAAGATTCAATCATTCAATATATATTTACTGAGCAAGTTACTATTAAATGAGCATCAGATCTATTCTAAGAGGCTAATTTAGAGAAAAATAACCTCTGTTTAAATGTTCAATTTATTAAAAAGAGGTTTGTAGATTCTTTAGGCAAGACTGATAGGAAGTTAAAAAAGAAAAAAATGAAGAAGAAAGGAGCTGGATATGGTGACATACACCTGTAATGTAATCCCTGCATTTAGAAGTGCCACTCTGGTCTACAAAATGATCTAGAGGATAGCTTGGTATACACAGCAAGATCCTGTCAGACAAATTTTGAAAAGAAAATTTTCATGGGAAAAAACAACAAGATGGGCTCAGTGGTAGAGTATTTGTCCGGAATGTATATTGCTCAGTCTTTGATCACTAGAACTGACAAGGAAAAAGAATTAACAAAAAAAGATCTCCATTTACCAGGTAAGCAAAGTGAGGCTCACAAAACTCAGACTACTTAGTCCAAATTGAAAACTTAGCCAGGCCTTGTTGGCTCATGCCTATAATCCTAGCTACTCAGGAGGCTGAGATCTGAACATCATGGTTTGAAGCCAGCCTGGGCAGGAAAGTCTGTGAGACTCCAAATTACCCACCAGAAAACTGGAAGTGGTGCTGTGGCTCAAAGTGGTAGAGTGATAGCTTTGAGCCAAAGAGCTCAGAGACAGTGGCCAGGTCCTGAATCCAAAGTCTTACAACTGACCAAAACAAAACAAAACAAAACAAAAAAACAAATTGAAAACTCAGGTTACCATATTTTGGTCCAGTGTTTTTCCTGTCTTAGTAGATTGATTGATTATCACTAACAGTAAAATGTTCTATGTATGGGAAAAGTATGCATTTCCTATACGATAGTATGAAAGTATCTTCGCTGAGCCTATGCTATACACATAAAATGCAGTTTTATGATTATATAAATAATACTCCAAGGCTGGGAAGGTGGTTCAGTGGTAGAGTGCTTGCCTTGCATGCATGAGGCCCTAGGTTTGATTCCTCAGCACCACATAAACAGAAAAAAGCCGGATGTGGTGCTGTGGCTCAAGTGGTAGGGTGTTACCCTTGAGCTGAAGAGCTGAGGGACAGCACCCAGGCCCAGAGTTCAGCCCCCATGACCGACAAAAAAAATAAAATAATAAATAAAAATAAATAATACTCCAAAATAACCATGCTCAATCTTCAATAATCCTACTTTTGACCTGGGCTGTAACACACAAACCTCTAGGCAGACAAGTACCACTTACACACTGTAGTAGTGGTCACTGGTGTTGTGGAAACTGTGGTCCTGTTTCAACTTATCTCTTTACAGTATACATGATTCCTAAGCACAATGTCATATAACTGGGACAGTTTAACAATATTTCTACATGGACACCATGAAAAAAGTACTATGTATCTGAGGAGGCTCACTCCCCTTGTTTTACCTAGAGAGCTAACAGTAACAAGCTATTTTACAATAGTGTATATAGGATCATGTCTATATACTTAGGTCAAGGCTTAAGGTACTATTTATGTATTTATCTGCACCTAGCCTTTTAATTCAAGAGATTTTTTTTTTTTTTTGGTTGGTCGTGGGGCTTGAACTCTGGGTTTGGGGTCCCTCAGCTCTTCAGATCAAGGCAAGCGCTCTACCGCTTGAGCCACAGCGCCACTTCTGGGTTTCTAGTGGTTTTATTGGAGGTAAGAGTCTCACAGACTTTCCTACCCAGGCTGGCTTTGAACCATGATCCTCAGATCTCAGCCTCCTGAGTAGCTAGGATGACAGGCGTAAGCCACCGGCGCCCAGCTAAGAGAAAAATTTTAAAGTCACTAAAATCAAGAATAACTCTGTAAAAGCTGCACAACAACCTATGCATGCATGTATCAAAATTATACCCATTATTCCCTTACTGATGAATTTTCAGTGTTTCTAGTTTGGCCATTTGTATACTATCTGTTAAAATAAATATCTTTGTATGTACATACATGTGTATGTGTGTGTAGCCTAATGTGCTTGTATTTTTATTTCCAAAATAAGAGCTTTTTAAGAGTATAATTTATTAGTTTGAATGACACAGTACAGTTTTGTGTGTGTGTCTGTGTGCTGGGGAATGAAACTAGGGACTCGAGCATGCTAAGCACACACTACAAACCATCTACAACTCCAGGCCCTTTAGTACTTCAAAATATTGGGAGTGGGCCATGTGCTGTGGTGGAACAGGACTGATCAATTTTTCACATGTTCACTAACTTTCTGAGTATCTTCTAAGATTTGCTTATTCATACTTACTGTTTCTCTTAGGTTCTTTTTTCTCTCTCTCAAGATCCCATTGATTACATGGGTTGCAAATATATCATATTTCATTTGTTTAGTATATATGAATTTTCTCTTAAATTTTTTTCCCTCTATCAACCTTACATGTTGTTTATACCATGAGAATATACACCAGTACTTTCTCCCATAATATATAACATAAAGGATTACATTACTTGTTTCGATTTTTTTTTTACTGATCATGGGGCTTGAACTCTGGGTGGGCGCTGTCCCTGCGCTTTTCATCTCAAGGTGAGCACTCTACCGCTTGAGCAACAGTGCCACTTCTGGTTTTCTAGTGGTTTATTGGAGATAAGAGTCTCATGGACTTTCCTACCAGGACGGGCTTTGAACCGAAATCCTCAGACCTTAGCCTCCTGAGTAGCTAGGATTACAGGCGTGAGCCACTGGCACCCGGCACTTAATCTCCCCTGCCCCTCCTTCAGCAATAGAAAGCCACTTTCTTGATTTTATTATTTTTTTGGCCAGTCATGGGGCTTGAACTCTGGGCCTGGGCGCTGTCTCTGAGCTCTTCAGCTCAAGGCTACAACTCTACCACTTGAGCCATAGCACCACTCCCAGCCTTTTCTGCTTATGTGGTGCTGAGGAATCGAACCCAGGGCCTCATGCATACGAGGCAAGCAGTCTACCACTGAGCTACCTTCCCAGCCCATACTTTCTTGATTTTATCTCTTTCTTTTTCTGTGCCCTCCCAGCTTCCCTCTTTTTTTTTTTTTTGTCGGTCATGGGGCTTGAACTCTGGGCCTGGCGCTGTCCCTCAGCTCTTCAGCTCAAGGCAAGCACTCTACCACTTGAGCTACAGCGCCACTTCCGGTTTTCTGGTGGTTTATTGGAGATAGGAGTCTCACGGTCTCTCCTGCCCGGGCTGGCTTTGAACCGCGATCCTCAGATCTCAGCCTCCTGAGTAGCTAGGATTACAGGCGTGAGCCACCAGCGCCCGGCCCAGCTTCCCTCTTATGTGTACATGTATATACCATATGTGGGGTCAAGAACATAGAGTCATCTAAAAATGATGCAACAAATTAAGAAAAGATCCTTTGTTTCTTGAGTCTTATTTACTTTGTCATATCTTGTTGCATTTTGAATTTAACATCCACATATCAGGGAGGTTTCCCTGCCATTTGTTGTGGCTTATTTTGCTCAACATGATTTGTTCTAGTTTCATCCATTTCCCTGCGAATGCTATTTTGTCCTTTCTAATGGCTGGGTAATATTCCTTCGTACATAGGTACCATAATTTTTTGATCCATTCATCTGTAGTGGGGCATCTGGATTGTTTCTGTATCTTTGTTATCGTGAACAGTGCAGTAATGAACACAAAAAGTACATGTGTCCTTGTATCCTGGTTCCTGTTGCTCAGGGTAGATGCCCAGGAGTGGTATGGCTGGGTCATAGTAAGGTCTATATTCAGTTTTCTGAGGAACCTCCAGACTGCTTTCCAGAGTGGTTGTATTAGTATACATTCCCACCAGTAGTGCAGTAGGGTTCCTCTTTCTCTGCATCCCTGCCAGCATTTGTTGTCTGATTTTAGGATTCAGGCCATTCTGATGGGCCAGGTAGTGGCCCAAGGTTGTTTTTATTTGCATTTCCTTTATGGAAGGCATGAACATTTGATTACAATTTCATATGACCAAATTTGTCTTTCATTTTAGGTTCTGATTTTCCTACCTTAATTTAATGATTCCCAAATTCCTATTAAAAAACAACAACAACAACAAAACACAAACTTGGCAGGAAAAATCAGTTGTTCCAAAGTTGTACAAGGCTACATGTGGGTGTTTTGATTTTAAACTCGTTCACATTTATGATTGGCTCCATTCTCATTCCTGATATATTAATTTTTTTTGGCTGTGGGGTCTGAACTCTGGGCCTAGGCACTGTCCCTCAACTAGTCAGCTCAAAGCTAGCTGTCTACCACTTGAGCCACAGCACCACTTCCAGCTTTTTCTGTTTATGTGGTGCTGAGGAATCAAACCCAGGGCCTCATGCATGCAAGGCAAGCGCTCTACCACTGAGCCACCTTCCCAGCCCCTGTATTAATTTTTGGTCTCTAATCAGGAAGTACTAGAGTTTGAACTCAGGGTCTTATGCTTGCACAGCAGAAGTCTGACACTTGAGAGATGCTGCCAGCCTGGCTTTTTGCTGGTTAACTAGAGATTAAGTGTTTTATGGACTTGTTGGGCTAGTTTTGAACCTCAATCCTCAGATTTCAGCTTCCTGAATAGCTAGGATTATAGTCACAAGTTACCAGTGCTTGGCTCTTGTGTGGCTTTTTTTCTTTTTAAACTTTTTTTTAAAATGTGTGTGTGCTGGTCCAGGGGCTTAAACTCAGGACTTGAATGAGGTCTCTGAGCTTTGCAACTCAAGGCCAGTGTTCTACCACTTGAGCCACAGCTCCATTTCTGGCTTTTTGGTGGTTTAACGAGATAAGAATCTCACAGACTTTCTTGTCCAAGCTGGCTTTAAATTGTGATACTCAGATCTTAGCCTCCTGGGTAGCTAGGATTACAGACATGAGGCACCAGTGCTTGACTCCTGTGTGTCTTTTAGGATACACCATCTCCCAGCCCAGGCTAAGCTTGTACTAGAATTCTCCTGACTTTACTTGGAATTATAGATGTGCACTACTATACCAGGATCCTACTGTTACCATTATTTATTAATCCAAACATTTTCTTTCATAACTGTAACTATCAAAAATCAGGAAGTTAATCCTTGTACATTCCGGCATATTGATGATGTTTATTCTGATTCAATGATTAAGATACTGTCTTCCAGGCTTCTCGATGGTCAAATCACTCTTGGAGTTTTTATTATTATTTTGTACTTCGATGTTATTTTTTTTGGTAAGAAAGTACTATGAAAACTGTAAAACTCCTTCTTTTCAGAGGGGTGCCGGTGGCTCATGTCTGTAATCTTAGCTACTCAGGAAGCTGAGATCTGAGACTTGCAGTTCAAGCTGAGACAAGAAAGTCCATGTACTCTTTTTGTTTGTTTTTTTGGGTCCGGTCATGGGGCCTGAACTCTGGGCCTGGGCCCTGTCCCTCAGCTCTTCAGTTCAAGGATAGCGCTCTACCACTTGAGCCACAGTGCCACTTCTGGGTTTCTAGTGGTTTTATTGGAGGT